TATGGTCCACGATGCTCTCATTTAGTGAGATAAGGAAAGGCCGCAGAGAGAAATAGAAAAAATAGAATGAAAAAAGAGGAAAAAATTTAGAAATTCGTAGCATAGTTAAGTTGAACGATTAGTCATACTGTAGCATCGTAATTGTTGTATTTAATTTTTATGGTAACATTTATTTAAGGGGTTTGTAAAGCAACAACCACAACAGACTGATGTTCAACAAGTTCCGGATTGCAATTCTTATGAACACTGTGTTTCTTCGGCTGGCTTTCTTCAAACCTCTAAGTCTTCTAATCAACCTAATAATGATATGGATGGTAATCAGAAAGCATCTGCATCAGAAAATCAAGAATGTAGAACATCGCAACCAACCAGTCATGGATTAGGTCCTACATTTCTGCGCCAACATACTGTTAATATGGAAGTGTTAACTCCAGCTGTAAGAGCACAGGCAGTTCTAGCTATTGGTAAAATGTGTCTTCAGGTAAGTAGAATTGAAATTACTTTTTTCTTGTGACTCTTGTTTATGTACTTTACACTGTGATATTAATAGACTTCCAGGACGAAAAGCTGGCAAAGAAATGCGTCCCAGTGCTGTCACGACAGCTTTTAGTAAACAGCAATCACTTAGTTCGAAGCAATATTGTTAGTGTAATTTGTGATCTTTGCAAAAGGTTTTTTTTTTTTTCTTTTAATTTTATTTATTGTTAGGGCATCATATATTTTATATGCTATCAAATCTAGAAATTTTTAATTTCTCACTTGTTATTTACAAACACACAGCTCCTTTTTCGAATTTCATCCAGCAACCTTATTATTCAGGTACACATTACTAGTTGACCGTCACAGTGCAATTGTAGCTTCTTGTCTGAAAGATCCATCGACGCTGGTGCGAAAACAAACGCTAATGTTATTGACACATCTCATCAAAGAACAGTTTGTACGTTGGGCAGGGCAGGTAATATATAATTATTGAATAAAAATATATTTTTACAGATTGATCTAAAAGATAAAATATATTTGTTGATATTTACTGATTCATATATTTATTGATGGTAGGAAGCAAAAAGTAATTCTCGTATACTACTATTGGTTTCAGATTATGTACAGATTTGTGTCAACAATTTTGGATGAAAATAAGGAGGTTCGCGAATACGCAGAGATGTGTTTGGTAAGTGGATCAAATAAGGGAGGGCTGACCAAATCTTGTATAATTTATACAAATTAAATTATGATACTTCTACTTTAGATTGATGTGCTGCTTGTGCAATTCCCGAACATGTTTGTAAATCATTTTCTGGAATGTGTTTTTTATTTCAATTCAGTCACACACAGTTTATGGTCGGCGACAACTAATGGTAAGATTTTATATGATAAATTCAAATTAATTCAATTTAGTTCATTTTCCCATTTTCAGCCATGGAAGATGATACAGAAAGGCAAGATTTAAAGTGTTCTTTATCAGGATTTCGATTAAAGAATGCACGAATGAGACTTTACCGATTTATGGTTGGTTCGCATGTCTTCAATTTGAAATTCTTGATTTTTTTGAACTGCACTTGGTAGTTTAAGGTCGAGTTAAATAAATTGCAAATGTTGTACAGATATCTTGTTGCTGTTAGCATTGATGATGGTTCCATAATATAAATCGTGCAGAAGCATTTTTCCATCGATGTTCTGTTTAGATAAAAACATTTAATGATGAAAACAAATTTATGATCGGGATGCGTATTGGTCAGGAAGTTTATTCAGCTATAGTAGACGGTGAGCTCAACATTTACGATCGTCGTGTTAAAGCCTTGCTTGAAGATTGCTACGAAGTATTATTTCTTTGTTTTTTTGTTTTTAAGCTATCAGATATAGATCTTTTTCTGCGCTTGATGCATAAGACATCGAATATCTCCCTTTATAGAAAATTTTAATTATTGTCCTATGCTTATAACAGATAATGTGTTGTTCGGAAATAAAATTGTCTATGGCTTTGGGTAAGAGATCACCAGGAGAAGCGGATGGTGATGATGATGATGATGAACCGCCATCAAATGTTCAGGTAGTGCTTTCATAAAATTTTCTCTTACCATTCTACTTTTGTTGTGTTGCTAGGTTGACAAAAAAAAAACTGCACATAAAAGTAATTCAAAGCATTAAAATGAAATTTTAGGAAGCAGCAAAGAAGGTTGTAACACAAGCATTCCGCAAAGGTATCATCGATGCCATTTTGCCTCACGTCATACAACTAAAATATTATCTACAGGAGAAGCGCCTACCTGAATTGGAATTTGGAATCATCAGAGTTCTGAGGTATCATCGAAGTCAATACTTGTTTTCTACTTATAACAGTAAATTTAAGGCCTAACTTTCTTTTTTTTAATAAAATTTGTTTTTAGGGAATTATGTAAAGACCACCGCGAGCAATTAGACGAATTTTTGGCAAGTGACAAGCAATTAAAAGCTGAAATAAAGTTTGATCTCGAAAAACTTGAGGCATTTTTTTTTTTTTTTTGGAATGATCGAAGATTGATAAGTAATTAAGTGAGCCAAAAAAAATCTGTAAGGCATAATGCAGATGTATATGATTTTCATTCCTTTTTTTAGTTTTTGTTGTTAGAGCAAAGCCTAATTAACGATTAAGTTTTGCATCGAAACTCAAGCTGGCTTGATAAAGTTGTATCATATATCATGTTTAAGGAAAAAGAAAAAAGGATGAAGATTTTGAACAACAATGATATAGTGGCTGAAGTACCTTTTTTGCCAAATAGAAAGGTTTCATTTGCTGCTGATCGCATGGTGTCTTCATCAGGTCAAAATTCTGAAATTCGGAAGCAAAAATGTAAAGTGGAAACGATTACACATACCGAAGTGCAAAAAAGTGGACAAGATAACGATGGTAGTTTTAATTGTCCTTTGTCATTTGCTGCTGATGGCATGGTACCTTCACCAGGTCAAAATTCTAAAATTCGGAAGCAAGAATGTAACGTGGAAACGATTACACATACCGAAGTGCAAGGAAGTGAACAAAATAACAGTGGTAGTTTTAATTGTCCTTTGTTTTTTTGGTTCTTCATCAGTTTTTGCATATTATTTTCGAAAACTAAACTTAGTATGTAATTTTTTCATGTCTATTATATTTCAATTACACATTGATCGAATTGTATTCATTTAATAATTGAGAAAAAATGTATCATTTCATAGCAGCCACATTTAGGTGACGCCCCAATAGTTGATTCTATTGATAAAAGATACCGAGAGTTGACGGAAGGACAAACGAAAAGTAATGATGACGAGGAGAAGAATGCCGAGAGTGTTGTAAGTTTCATTTCGCTTATAATTAATTTTAGTGGTAAGTAAATTACGTGTAGGAGAATTTGGGTATGAGTAATCAATTTGGCCTATTGGCTTATTTAAAGCTTTTGGAACACATTTCTTACGTCTCATAAACTTTTTGGGAGTTCAAAGAATTCCATAATGTGCATTTATATCTTGATTTTTTAAACTTCTATAACCATAATTTTTTCCCATATTTTACGACATAATTTTTCTGCATATTTCGATTCTTTTTTAGCAACCTTCAACAAGTGTAAAGGAATATTTTATCCCAACTGAAATTGCTATGAAGATCAAGAAACGAAGTCAAAAAATAAAATTTGAACAAGCAGATGAAGAAAGCGAGTTACCCGTACGAGCGATTTCAACGCCAGAACATAACGTCGGCGAGGTTTTTTTTTGTTTTTTGATGATTTATTTTTTGATGAATATTAGTCTTATTGGTGTTGTGCTAATAGACGTATACTAATACATCTATGATTGTCACTAATCATAAACTTTAAGTCATATTAAAATTTTATAGCCGCGCTGCATTTCAGCTAACTTTTGGTCTGGGCGATGATATGTCAGCAATTGAAAGTACACCAACAAGAAAAAGTTAGCTTACAATTATCCAGATCCAGATTTTGTATTTTGCATATTTCTTTCTTTCTATGAATAATAGAAATATATGTATTTCAAGGGTCAAAACGACAACTTCGACAACCCTGTGTGCCACCAATTGAAGAAGCTGATAACGAAAATGAATGATTTCTTTTCTAAATTATGTAATGAAGACCAATAACCCTTCAACAGTAAGTTTAGATCATTTGACCATTCGCGTATCACTACCATATATTTCATGCTGATCTCAGGTTGATGTTTTCTGTTGTCTCTTAGTGCAGTTTTCATAAAGCAATGTTTGGCTCATTTCTTTTCCTGTCGAAGTTGTCTAGCATAATCTTTATAAAGAGAAATCATGTTCAGTTTGAAGTGTGGAATCTACTTAAGTGTTATCTGAATGTGTGTACGCATTCAGATAATTGAGATATACAGTTAGACCATACTGGTAGTTCCAATTTAGAAAATACGCGTTGTTGCGCTGAATCGTCATCGATATCGTTATCATCTGCGATGTATTTTGCTCATAATTAAACTACTAGAATTAGCAAAGTGCAATGTGTGCTGTTAGAAATGTGAGGGAAAGTCATACATCATTTCTGCCTTCTTTTTTGATTGCTTAAAACATTAACACTCAATTATGCACTCAGTAACTAATTATAGAGTATTAGCAAATGCTAATTTAATTCAATAAACACTGCAAATACACTCTGTATAATGCATTTTTTGAAGCCAGAATTATGTCAAATGTGCATTGCTTTTTACCTTTTATAGTATCACTTATAAAATGTTTCTCTCCCTTCTATCCATTCAAAAATAAAATTTTGCCGCATTAGTAATGATAAGTGTTAAGCACTTAATTACACATTATATCATAATAATAAATAAATCGTAACATTTGCGCTCAAAATATTTCTTTGTAGCTACTTCAGTTTCTAACATTGTATGATAGGATTGGCTGAAATTCGCAAACTTTTACAGGATTTCCTGCGGTATCAACGAGAGTTAAAGGGAGGGAAGAGTTTGAGGTTAAACTGCTTCAATTGGGTAGGTAGGAAGAGCATCTCTTTACAGGGTAATTACCAGATTGTAGTCTGTCCATTCATCCACTGCAGATAACCCTCAATATCATCATTTTCTTTGCTTATTAAAAAATTTCTGGAGGATTGACCGTTGTCATTTAACGAAACATCCATATTTTGCTTTGTTTGCATGCCCTGAAAGTATTAATTTTTGATGTTGTAACTTTTTTAAACTTTTGAACATCAATGTTTTATTGAGGAACTTTTTCAAATATGAAATGAATTGAAAGATACCTCGGTGAATGTCTTGATGTTAGAAATATCGGTGAAACTGCCATTATCTGAAAGGAAATATACTGTTACAGAAATAATACATTGAAATCAAGGAATGATATACTGATAACTTTCTCAATATTTTTTAATTTGCTATAATAATAGTTGAAAGTTCAGGTCATTGTTTTGTGTTATACAATGATAATATATGATTGATATTCAAGAAAGAAATTAAACTTTTATTTTGAATATTTAAACTTTTACTGTTATAAGGAGGAGAAGTAAAGAGATCTTCGTCGGTTGTTGTTGTTGATGATAAAACATCAGCCGATAATATGTTTGTACGCGGGATTAATTTCAATTTTGTGCCTTGAAATTCTGCTAGATTTACCGTTTGACCTAGATTCAAAGCATTAAAAAATTTTGAAAATGATTTCCTTTCTTACTGTTTTATATATGTGCTAGATATGCTATCCGGAATAATAGAATATCACATCATGTTAATGTAAGAGTTACCATCAGGAAATTGAATAGCACTGAATCCATTCAAAAATAAAGTGAAATATATGTTATTCAAATGATCAATGTGATCTTCCAAAAGCATCCTTAACTGCTGCAAATCAGTTTTAATTGCATTTTTCATTTCTTTTAAATGAAATTTTTTCAAGTTGTTATTTTCAGACATACAAAGACTATGATTTACTTTCAAATGATCTAAAGAAATTGTGTAAGGTAATTTAGACTATCACATTTTTCATTTCCATTTCAATTTAAGTCATTCTCAAAAATAAAAAAAAAAAAGACCACCTGTTGATGAAATCAACATGACCCGAATTGAGTAGGTAAGATGGTTAGGTATACTTGAATTGACTAGACTATCAGATATTTCCATTTTAATTTAAATCATTCCCAAGAAACTAAGAAAAAGATTGCTGATTAGATAAGCAAATTGATAAGATAATTGGATATACTTGAATTGACGACTTACTTTGAATCGAATTTGATGCCTTTGATTTTCACGCATCAACGTTGAATTGCTCATTGTTAATTGACACATGAGCTTTTCGTAATATTGTTGCACGTGATCTAACTCATAGAAGTCACTTTTCTGAATTATTTCTTTACGTCATTGAACATTGTCAATTGTTATTATTACTAATATTATTATTATTATTATTATTATTATTATTATTATTATTATTATCACATATTTCGATTATTATTTTATCATATTATTAATTTCACTTAATGTCTAACGAATTGTCTCGAAAAATAAAAGAATATATGATAAATAATTATTTTATAAAGTAAATTGAGAATTTGACAAATTTAATATTTAATTATCATTCTATGCTTCTTCCATTCAAGCATCCCTTCCAAGATAGCATAGAAGAATGAATTAGCATTGTTAGAAAAATATTAACCGTTGCTAATCGATGGTTCACCTCAACCGTAAATTCATTCCGTTTTTGCTCGCTACTCGAAAAGTAATGTTTTGTTGAGCTTCTATAACCACTGTAACCATCCTGAAACTTGCCCAATTATTCCTATTATATTATATAGTGCTTCATCCATTCCGTTTCAGTCATCAAAAAATTATTTTTGCTGTTCACAGATTGTTCTTAGAATCTTTTCAATTATTAATTCAAAAATATTCTTCAAAAGGAATCCATCTATGCATGGAAAAACATACATTATAACCATATCACAACCATATACGATTGCATTAAATCTAGTTTTTATGACAGTAATGAATTCATTGTGAAGTAATTGTCAAATTGATTGTCAACCTGATACATTTTTACCAAAACAGATGGTTGATTTTTATGAACATTTTTTGCTATTGCAGAAGATTCTTGAGCTGATGCTTCCATTTTATCTTCCTTGAAACGTGATGATAATGGCATATAATTGCAAAATTGTGCTGACTTCAGTTTACCGGAAGGACGACATTTCGGATCCGAAAACAAAGGAGCACCACATAATACTGTAAGTATATTTTTTATGTTTTATATATTTTTGCTTTCCTGATATTTGCATTTTACATTTTTCAGTTCTGAAATATGTATTAAAGACATCAAATGAATGACAGAGTTGTGAAGTTATTTGAAGATAGCATAAGTGTTGCAATTTTTGACATAAGCAAATTTTGATCATTTAAACAAATTTAAAATGATTTAATTTGTTCGAAAAATGAAAATTATTAATGAACTTACAGGTGCGAACAAACGAAGTAGCAGCAGGTGGCTTTCCATATGAATGATCATCACTCACAACCACTGTATTTCGCATTGTCTGAAATTAGTTAGCCTTTCCAAATAATTCCACTTCTTCAGAAATAAGCTAACAGAGCACATTTTGACACTTTCTAAAACATATCATTCTTTCCCAATTTTTCTGACAGAAACTAATTTAAGTATGTCACGTGGAAATTCAAAAGGAAAACTTTAAAAAAAAAAAAAAAAAAACTTATTAACATTATTGTTATTTAAAATTTTGAACATAAAATATAAAATTGATGAAATAAATTTTAATAGAGACAAGAAAAAAAATTTTTTTTTAGCGATATCACCATATTATATGAGCTAAGAAATGAAAAAATTCTTACTGAAAAAAAAAAAAAAAATTTCTTCATTTTTTTTTTTTAGTTCAAAATATTTATTATTACAGTGGAAAGAAAAATATTACAATGTTTGTGACAATAAAAATAGTAATAGCAATAACAATTATTATTTTTGTTATCAATAACAATAATAAACATAATAATAATAACAAATAATAATAATAATATAATAATAATAATAATATAATAATAATAATAATAATAATAATAATAATAATAATAATAGTATTAATAATAATAATAATAATAATATAATAATAATAATAATAATAATAGTATTAATAATAATAATAACAATAATAATAGTAATAATAATAATAGTAATGATAATAATAACAGATAATAATAATAATGTTATAATAATAATAACAAATAATAATAAATAACAATAATGATAATAACAATAATAGTAATAATGATTATGATAATAATAATAATAGTACTAGCAATAATAGTAATAATAATAATGAAAGATGCGTAGTGTTATTTTGATAATACGAATAAAATTAGAATAATTTTCTGGGACGAATAGATAACAAATGGCAAATGGAAAGCAAAGAATGATGGATATTTGAAACAATAACGCAGTATTGGATATTAGATAAATAATGCAATTGCATTTGATATGTTTTCATCGCTAAAAGAATAAAGGCTTTATAGCTAAATATCAATAACTGTACTATTTAGACTTTAAAAATTTAATATTTTGTTTGAAAAAAAAAATTTTTCTAATAAAATTGGACATTTATTTACTTATTTAATCTTAATTATCCAATAATTAGAGATTAAATGAAATGAAACACAGTTTGTAAGCAAATGTTTAAAATTGAAAATAAAATTCAATTTTAAATGAATCAGAGAATGAAAATTTAGGAGATTGAACTGTAAATAATATATTTTTGATCATAAAAAGCTCATCTTGTAAAATTGAAATAAAAAAAAAAACGGCAAAAAGAATAGAATTGGAATTTAGAAATATAAAAAAAAGGAAAAAAAAAAAAAAAACAATTAAATTTCCTTTCTAATTTATGCTATAATCCAGGGAATTTCTATGCTTGGGCAATTCAACTTCAACTCAGTAAAAGTTTCTTAAAAAAAAAAAAAAAGGAAAAAGAGAAAATCCATCGGTATTAAACAACTTTCAAAAATCCCAATGGATTTTTGAAAGTGTTTGAAAAGATGAAGAAAATATTAAAATTGGTTGAAATGCTTTTCATTGATGATGCAAATATTTGCGAATATTTTGATCTGTCATACTTCTTTGTTAATAAATAAGTTAATAATTAGTAATTGACAAAGGTCACAATGACAATTATAAATAATCTTTTGATGGAAAATCTTTTAGTTTATTGTGATTTAAAGAATGGAAAAAAAAAAAAAAAAAAAGAAAATGATTGGTAAATATGTCCGAAAAAATGAAATTGTTGTCTCATTCTCGACAACTCTCAAATTCATTCTTACTGACATCAGTAGAAAACATTTCCCAAATGAAATTCGATAAGAAGAATCATAGGCATTTTTCCATATTCTGAAAGTCCTAAATAAAAGCTTGACAAGACAAGCCTTGGCCAGTTGGTATGCTAAAAGAGCCTAAGATTCATCATTGCTTTCAATGTATTCATGAAAAAAATAAAAATAAAAAAACAAAACAAAAAAAAAAAAAGAAAGAAAACTGCTTCTATTATTCAATCCTTTCACTTTTTCCCATGATATTTTCATGAACAACAAAAGTAAATTGCACTCTCGGGAACTGCTTTCTATTTCAGGATGAAATTCCAAATATTTTTGTTTACCTTTTGAATTTTCATCCTTAACAGTAATAAATATTGCATGAAGTAGCACCTAAAATTTGAACCAATGAAAAATTTAAATAATCATTAAATGATAAAAATGCTAAATTTACATTTAGAGCTAACAAAAAATATCCTTGCATGATAGTGAAAATAATGATAAGCTAAAATGAAATCATTGATAAAAATTGATAATAAGCAACCAAATCATATTTCTTCTCGCTTTTTGATTGTTAACGATTTATAGGATATCATTGATAATAAAGTGATCAAAACCTTAACGTTTTATCATCTATGGTGGATAACAAGTAAGCAATGATCACTTATCACTTTAATTTATCTATAATGATAAATTTCTTTTGATATATTATATATTAAAATTTAGGAAATAACTGAGTGATATGATTAGATTAAGTCAAGCAAACAATTCAGTGATAAGGAGGAGATTTTAAATAGAATTAAAAAGTTGAATGTAAGTTTTAGTCATAAAACGAATTATCAAAAGTAATGTAAAGCAATTGCTTTAAGCAATTGTAACACATTTTTTTGTCAAAATAAAACCTAATTTGATGCAAATTAGACTTAGAATAACATGAAATTAAATTTATTTTTGATTTTCGAAATCAAATTTACTTTTCAAAAAAAAAAAAAAAAAAAAAAGGAAAAATATATGCTAACACATTACTCTTACAAAGCAAACAATAAAAAAACGATGAAAAAGAAAATTAAAAAAGAAAAAAAAAAAAGAATGAAAAATGAAGTGTGAAATGAACAATTCATTCTCTGAATTGAATTGAATGAAAAAGAAAAAAAAAATATATATGAAAAAAAAGTAATAAAATGGAACAAAAAATAATTTTCAGTTTTTAAATGGTGAAATTTAAAATGATTTAAACAAAATTTGATATAAATGATTTGTATTAATCGAAATTATGATCATAGCAATCGATATATTTCATAGTAATAATTTTTATTTATTCTTATATCACAAAATTTTATGTTTTAATATTCTTCATACAATTTCATTTAATTAATTATAGAAATAAAATTTTTAATGAAAATAATTGAAATGTTTGAAAGAAATTATAAAATTGTCGAACGGTACTAAATATAAATAAATGACAGGTGGAAATGAAATTTTGTTAAATATTAAAATTTTTGATATTATTATGATCAAACAATTATCGTACAAATAAATGATTTTTATACCATTTTCTATTGAAATTTCTTCGTAAATTTTGTAGTTTTTTTTTTTTTTTCTTTCTTTTAAATTTTTATTAATTTGTTTGAGATTTAAAAAGTTTTCATAGCAACAAATCGTTTTTTTTTTATTTTTTTAATTTTTTTTTTCTTCTTACCTAAGTATGATTTTAAGAAAATAATTCTTAAATTTGTACTAAAATGACGGTTATCAATTAATTGACATAATAGAATTTAAGTTTTATTACAATCTAATCAATGTGATTGCATGAAAAAAGTAAGAAAAATGAAAAGAAAAAAATATTTTTTTTTTTTTTTTTTTTTTTAGAATTATGAATGAAATCAAGAAAATAAATACTCATTAATCAAATTTTTTGAATTGTTCAAATTTTTTTTTCTAGCAGATATTAGATTTCTAGCGTATTGAATTTATTAATAATTTCTCGTCTTGTATAAATTAGCTTCAATAATTATTCTTATTCTTAGTTAATGTTCAATTATTAATTTTACTCATCATAATTTTAAAGTTATTTGCAAAAATTTTTTTAATTAATGAATTTTAAATTTATTAATGTTTTTTTTTTTTTTTGGTATTATTGTCATTAATTAATTAACAGAAATCATTCAAATTGAAATATTTTTGTGGTATTATTTCATCTCAAAGTTAAGTAAATATAATGTAAAACGGAAAAAAAAAAACATTAAAGAAAAAAATTATATTTGTATAACATCAAGTTTAATTAAAAATATATCAAAAAAGCGTAATCCTGACAGTTTTTTTTTTTTATATCGCAGTGATATGATAAGCACTAATCATATTATCAGACTTGAATTTGAATTTATTATTATTTCAGTTAAAATATCATAATAAAAGATTAATTAAAAAAATTAAACTGAAATTGTTTATCTCAAAAAAAAAATTAAAATTGTTTACTTTCATAGCTATTTTATTTATGCTTTTTTATTTTAGCTTAGTGAAAATTAAATGAACATTTGCTTACATCAACTAATTAAAACTAAAACAATCATTACCTTAATTAATTTTGAAATTTAATTTATTACATTTTCATAGCATTGTTTCGAATTTTATTTTAGTATCGAATTATTAAATTTTACGCTAACATTTTGAGCAGTTGTTTACCTTTTGCTATTTGATTAATTTGTAATAATTTAGGATTATTTTTTACATTTTCTTTTAAAATGAGTAATTAGAATTAAAAATTTCTCAGTAATTGTGTAAAATGAAAAAATTAAAATTTTCAAAAATTAGAATGAAATGGAGTAAAATTCAAATAATAATAAATAATTAGAAGATAAGAGAAAAAATTACAGATCATAGGTCAACTTTTTATTTATTAATAGAAAAATGACATATGACAAATATGAATGAGCGAAGATTTGCTGAGTAGTAATACTAATTTCATTCATAAAGCCTAGATGAGTCATTCATTTTAGTTCATTGAAGCTTAAAATATTTTACGATATAAAAAATAAAATGAAATGAAATGAAATGAAATATTCTATCAAAATATTTTCTTTTAAGATTTAAAAAAAAAATTAATCATTAAAAACTCTTATAAAATTAAAAATGAAAATGTTAAAATTTAAGAGTAAAATTTTGAAGTTTATAAAAATGGAAAAATTGAAATGTCAAATGTAAAAATATATGGCCTAGTTTGGTTAAAACATTAAAATAAGACAAGAAAAGAGACAATCAGATATTTGGCAGAGAAATGACAATTGCAGATGGATGAAATTGAAGCAAAGAAAAATTAAAAATAAGCCAAATGAGATAAATTCTTTAGTGATTATAGTTCGGTGATTATTTTTGTTTAAATGAAAAAATAAAAATAAATTCAAATTTATTATTTAAAATTTTTTTTTTGATTAATAATTGTTTTTTTTTTTTCTCTATGAGAAATTTTTACAGAGCTTAAATTCAATGTTTACAATTTAGCCTTAGCAAAATAAGCGCTATGGAAAGTGTCCCAATTGTATGTGATCTCACGTTCACGTTCACGTTATACGTGCGTATATTAGGAATAGCGTGAAGTGATTAATTCATTTCTGGAAAATCCTTCTTCTTTTGGGAAATAGAAATTTTGCTAATGGATGGAAAAATGACCTGAATTCTGAAAATATATGGAATTTGTTTTCGCATTTTTTTTTTTTTTTTTCTTGAGCACAGATCAATTTTATTTATTTAGCTTATTTACTTGAAATGTTTAATTCTTTTTAATTTATTCGAAAACTATATGTATATTTTAGTCTAAGTAAAATAAAGTAATAATCTTGGATAGAAAAATTAAAAGCTTTGAAATTTCCAATTAAATAATTCCCTGCCAAGTTTGAATTCATAGAAAGAGACTAGACTCGATAAGAATGTCTCAACTTTATCACTCTGAGAGAGAGAGAGAGAGAAGGAGAGAGAGGGAGAGAGAGGGGAGAGAGAGAATGATCATAGACAGGTATTTATTTTTTACTAATTTCTTGCTAAAACTAAATGTATAGCCTTGTTACACAAAATTAAAAATTTTTTTAGAAATTAAAAAAAAAGAGATAAAACTGATACCCAAAGGTATTTTATAAAGGTAACATTCAGGTACTAAAAATGAAAACATACTGAAAGCTAATTGCATAGAATATTTAAATTTGTAGCTCGAATATATGATGTTACCTGATGACGATAATGAGTGATTAAACTATAATCTCGAAATTAATTTACTTTCAACATAATTGCTATAATTATTAGGATTGAATATTTTTTTGACTAATTGCAACAGTTTAGAGATTAATTCAGATAAATTCAAATAACAAATGTTTTTCGATAAAGATCAGATAAATAACTTTTAATTTGATTACATAAGTAAGTTAATGGTATCAGTCAAAATTCCTAAAGTAACTGTAATCCATTCTGCTACAGATAATTGAACAAGAATATTGTTGAAATGAAGAAAGAAATGAAAAAATGAGAAATTAAAAACGAATGAATGCAATGAAAATGTAATTAGTCTTTATAGTAAAAGTTTTAAAAAAAAAAAAAGAAAAAAAAAAAAACAAATGTAAGTAAAATTTTAATTAGCAAAAAAAAAGAGTTAATTGTTATTTTCGTGATATTTTGATGAGCAAAATGTAGGAGAAAGATAACAAATAATGAAGCAAAATGAAAAGAGAAATAATGCAAAAAAGATAAATGAGCAATTGGTTGAGATTTTATACTTCAAATTTAGAATGAATAGATTTAAAAAATTAAATATGAAATGAAGTTTTGTTTTGTTTGTTTTTTTTTTTTGAAATTGGTATTTTTAGAATTTTAAAAAATGGTTAGTTTCAATGATTTAATTATAGTATTATACAATTTTACAATTCTAATAGCAAACATTCCAGATAAAATAAATGCTTATCATTGCTTATTACTGTAAACATTTTATTTACTAATCAGCACATTGTTTACAAATAGATTATTGAAATATGAAAAACATTCTGATAATATGCAATTTTCTGTTACTGATTACTGATTACATCAAGTAATATTGTATTGAAATGCTAATTTTAGACTGCGTTGCTTGAAGACGTAAACATTTCTTGGTGATAATGCTAATTGTCTGATCTTTGTAAATGATCTTTATGACTCATCAATGATTCATCGTTTCATTTAAATATTTATCTGAATGTTTATTTTCTTTTGTGCATATTTTATTTCAAATCAACTAGAAATTATGACAATAGTAAAATATGAAATATTTTACTATTGTCAATATTTTAGGTAAATTGCAAATGTTATGTTACAGTGAGAAGACAAATTTACAATTTAATTTTATTACCTGAAATGACTCATCAGTCGATAGATGAAACATTTTTGTAAAACATAGTACGAAAATGCAATCATATAGAAAGTAATCATTTTGTTGTATATAATTTATAAACATGAATCATAGAACGAAGAGTAAAGTTGAAAAATAATTTTAACCAAAATAATTAAAATTTGAATTTTAGAATTATATTAAACACTAAAAATTATATTTCACAATTACTTCTTTATGAATTATTTCATACAAATAGTAATTCATTCATTAAATAAAGAGAGAAATGATTTAAAATTTAATTATATAATTTTTTTTTTTTTTTTGTTATTGAAATGACTGCTAGAAGTGTTTGTTTAATAAATTTTTTTTTTAGCAAATTTGACGAAATTTATTCAAAGTTGAATTGCAGGCAATTTTAAAATTAAAAATATTAATTACTCATTTAAGATTTATTGATTACTAACTTTAGCTTAATTCATTCATTCATTTGAGACTTAAAAAAAAAAGTGAAAAAGTGAAAAATGAATATCTTAATGTATTATTGCTTTTTTATTTTAATAGAAAACAAAATATATTAATCAAATTGAAAAAAAAAAGGAAAAATTAAAAGTTTTATAAATTTAACATAAACTTTTCAAACATAAATTTTGTGAAATAAGTGAATGATTAAATTGTTTGTTAAAAGCAATAATATTCCTAAAAGCTAACTTCATTTCATCCCTTAATTCTATTTTTCTTTTATTTAATATATTTTAAATTTTGGAAACATTTTCATACTCATATACTTATACTTTATTCAATCAAAAGAAAATCAATTTTTTTCTTTTTTCAAGAATGTCCTCAATCCCATGTGACAAGATGAATTTATTTCATTTTTATGAATTTCACTTTTACATATGATTACTTTGCTCACTTTCATTTTCATCAATTAAAATGTTAAAATTAGCAGTTTAAATATGAAATTATCAATTTAAATATCAAAATTATCAATCGCTGATATAATCGAGAATGAAATATTACGTGGAAAGAAACGATGATATATGTTCGGCTTCATTTAATAATGCTATTATATAAGTAAAATGATTAAAATCATAATGACATGCGATAGAACAAGCAACCAAGTTAACACCTGAAATTGATCTAATTTTAGTTTTCATAGAAATTTTTAAATTAAAATGGAAAAGTTTAATTATTTTATTTTAGTAATTTTTAGAAATTGTTGATAAAACTGATTTTATTTTGTTTGCAATTCTCATTTATTTGTATAAGTGAGAAAAATTGTGAGAAAATTTTTCAATTTGAATAAAAATTAAAAGTTTTGCTAATCAGAAAAAGTATATTTCTCTATAACAATATATTCTTTTCAATTTTCTATAAAATTTGTCATAAAAAAAAGTTACTGAAAAAAAAAAAAAAAAAAAAAAAAAAAAAACATATCAATAAAATTAATTAAACATTTAGCTTTTTAAAATTTCAAAATAATTTAAATATTAACAATTAACTATAATAAATTTAAGTGTAAAATATTAATTAAAGATAAATTTAAGAAAAAAAAAAAAAAAAATTTACAGCAGTGATAACAAAACGTGGATGAAGGATATTATTTTCAGCATTTGCTGCTAATTTACAATTCCAAGTTTCTAATGCTGCAGCAATAATTGTCATTAATGAGCAAAAACCATAAATGATTAGTAACTGAAATTATTGTTAAATATATTAAAATTATTAAATTATTAATAATTTCTTTTTTCAAAAAAAAAAAAAAAAGGAATGAGAAAAGCGAATTAAATTAATTTTTGCTTATTAATCTTTTTTTTTGACAAATTTAAGAATTAAAATTGAAAACGAGAAAAAAAAAAAAAGAAGGAAAAGAATAAACTTTAATTTACCTTAAATTTGCCATATTCTTGGAATATATTTGTGCCACTTAATTGTGTAAGTGAACTAATTAAATTAATTATCAAAATGATAAATAAACAAGCAATGATAAGTGTTTGCCATCCATAACCATTGTAACCGAGTTGAATGTATACGTCACCATTGTTCCAAATAAATGAGCTAATGAACAGAGCAATAAATGATAAACTCTAAATTAATCTAATTTTATATTAATTTAGTAATTCATTTCATTTATTAGGTTATTTTGATTAAAAATTATTTCAATCAATTAGTTATGATAAGAAGCGAATATTGATACTATCAGAATGTATCTAAATTCAATTTTTAAATGCATGATATACATAGTATAATAATTAACATACAATTATTTCTGAATTATAACGAAATATACAAATTAAAATTTTTAAATGAAAACTTATAAATCTTTCGGATTAAAAAAAAAAAAGAGAAGAAGAATTGAGTACCAATTGAGCTACAGTTACAATTGTGTAACCTCTTTTAATTATATTTCGACTCATTTCATATCATTTATAAAATGCTATAATCATACCTGTAAATGATAATGTTATGATATGATAACAAAAATTGATCATTATCACTTCATTATTACAATCAACAAATTGCGTTTTCTTTTTTTTTTTTTTTTTTTTTTTTTTTGAAATTTCGTTGATAATAACTGATAATGAAAATACAATATAACATTTCAATATTATATTTGATGATAATAACTGATAATGAATCACCATCCAACATTTTAATATTATAAATTAAATCTTTATTATTATATAAAAAATAATATATTTTGTATTAGAATAAGATAATTATTAGATTAAACAATTTATTTCCTAATTTTTTATCAAATAACAAATAGAAATTTATTTAAAAAAGTAAAATCATGAGTGCTTTTTTTTTTAATTTAAGAAAAAAAATGGAAAAAAGTTAAGCGAATGGCATAAAATAATGTATTTTTGTAAAATTTGAAGCATTCATAAGCATTACAGCACAACATTTATGGTACTGAGAGATGTTTGAACAATGACACATTATAAGAGACATAGACAGGTGGTTGAGAGGTGGCAAATACAAATGTTTTGCACAACGAATAATTTGAACTTTAAATAAGCACAATGAAGGATGAAGAGTTTTCACGTGATTATAACTTTATCATTGCTTATCACACACTATCTCTCACTATCATTTATTCTATTAAGCAATCTTGAAATTATATGGATATCTAAGTAATAATAATAAGCAGTAATATTATACATTTATTTAAGTAATAATATCAAACATTATACTCAAATTTTTTAAATTAATATTAATGGTAAAGCAGGCAAATTAATTTAGTTGATTTATATTTGTTCATATTTCATTTTTTTATTATTCTATTTTATTGTTAAATTTTTAAAAAATTTAATCAAAAACAAAACAAAATGTAAGAAATATGGAAATTTTATGCTTCAATTGGAACAAAGACAAAAAAAAAAAAAAAAAAAATTTGCAAAATTTTGAATTTAAAAGCATGAAAAATTGAATAATGCGTAAATATAATAAAAATTGAAAATCTTTGATTTTGAAAGCTTTTTTTTTTGCAATCATGAAAAAGTATTGAAGAATTACGGTCATAAAATGTTTGTCTGTTTGTAAAGGTATCATTGTATGATTGCTTACAAATAATGCAAAGTTGTTGACTTATCAAATTTTACTTATATGTTTCCGCTCAATTCATATTGATAATCTGATGCCACTGATAATCTTCATGAACTGAGAAATATTTTTCCAATCTGAATCTTTAACATTGTTAAAATGATTGGAATGGAATTTTAAATACTGATAAGAAGTAATAACAATGATATAATTACTATTTAAATTCTAAATATAATACAATGCATTCACGTCATACACGTTAAAATTATCGTATATTCAATTATTAGCACATGTAATGGGTAAAGTTTTCATTTATGATAAGAAAAGTATATTCAAATCTTTGAAATAACATCGAATTGTATAATTTACATAAATTTTTATAGTCTTTTAAATATTGAGCGCAATTAGTTTATGGAAGTTATCAGAATCGGTCGGTTCTTTTATTCTTACTAATTTTGAAAATATAATTGCAACCATTGTGCATGAAAAAATTTGAGCAAGAAAAGAAATAAATTGTAAAAATTTTTTTTATTGAAAATTGAAATTTTACCATATTGAGGTTTATATTTTGCCAAAAAAAGATTATTTTTAACTTAAATTGATTAAAATTACTTTATCAGTTGAATAGGTAGAAGTGTTAAGAATGTTGGATATTCTATCAGATGATGTCATTTGGCGTTTATTTCGATATCTTGATGTAAAAAGTAGGACACGATTTGCTGCTGTTAATACTACCTTTTATAAGTTATTCAATAAGGTATTACAATGATAGTTGAAAAATTAAAATTATCTTTTTAGAATATTCAATATTATATAGTAAATAATTTTGTAATTTATTGCTGATTTTATTTGAGATAATTTATTGCTTTGCTATTTAAAAATTCTGATAATAGGCATATCAGTTCAGCTCAAAAAGTTATCAGATAATTTAGAAAATATTTCTTATTTTTTAAGTTAAAAAAGAAAAGGAAAGATTCTTAAATAAAAAAGATTTTCATTGTTAATTGTTTAAAAAATTTAAAGTTAAAAAATAAGAGTTAAAGGTTAAAACTGATAGTTGAAATTTTAGTGGGAAGATGTGTTATGTTGTTCAATTCGTATTGATGGCATCACTTTGTCCGGAAAAGGTTTTATATTAGAAGTGGATCAGCATTCAGTTAATCAATGTTTTTGTTACTTTTTTTTTTTTGAAGAATTGAAATTTATTTAAATTTATCAGACAATGCTGAAAAAGAGTAAAGTAAAAGTTAAAAAAGAATAGTTTTTCATCTGATTTCATACTTTGCCGTAATTTTGATTCGTTTCTTTTGAAATTGAAATAAACATAAGAAATGAACTAATCAAAAGAATCAGAAATGTTTGGCATAAAAAAAAAAATAAGATCAAAATAACAAAAAATGATAACTTTTAACTCAAAAAACAACAAAAATTAAAATAATAGAAAAAGCAAAAACTTTACTGAAATTATCACGAACTCGAGAAAAAAAAAAAAACAAAACTCTTAGTTATAAGAATTTAACTTATTAAAATCAATCGATTTATAAGAAAAAAATCATTAAAAAAGAAGCAAAAAAGAATAAATTCCATAAAAATAAAAAGATCATAAATATTTTAATCTCCAATTATTATTATTATTATTATTTTTTTTTTAAATAGCAAAATGCCTTTGAGTGTGACTTTTTTTTTTAATTTTATTTTTTTTAAGGAATGTTTTTTATTTATTTCAGAAATAAAATTAATGAAAGTTGCAAAAAGGATTAGAAAATCTAATGACAATTATAGTTGCAGGAATCGATAATAGTGCCACTCCTGAAACGATGCCCGTTAATCCGGAAATTAGCAATACATGATGAAAATGCGCTCCGTAATGTAAATAGTAATGTATTGCATAATTTACTGAATGTTCATGAAATTTACATTTCGAGTAATTTTTTCACTGAGTAAGTAATTCTTTCAATTAAACAAAATACAATAATTTGCATACCTATCTGTCATCCATCATATCACAGAGAATAAACAAAAAATGTTTTTATTAATTAATTAAAATTTTCATCCTAATCATTCTTAATTAATTATGTAATAATTGAAAATAATAATTTTCAATATATCAATTGTTTCCGAATGCAAAAGAGAGAAAAAATTATTTGCAAAATTTAAAGCATTGCAATATTCTGTTGAATTAAATTTTACATACAGAAATTTTTCATTTCAAAGTTATTATTAGTCGACATTTTTTTTTTTTCAAATTATTATAAAACAAAATGAGAAAATGCTTGTATTAATCGATCAAAAATGTTTGTATTAATTAATTAAAATTTTCATTCTAATTATGAGTGATCAAATAGGAAACTAATTTGACACCTTCGAACGTTGATTTTCTCTTTTCTTTTTTTAAATAACAAAATATTCAGCAGTCGATATGATTCGGTAATTGAATCGCTTTTTTCATTTTCAAAATTACATTTACTTCATATACAACAACGATATAACGATGATAAATGTCACCGGAATATCATCTGTGAACGACAGGTGGCAAAACTTACTTCAACATCTCTTAGTGATATTAAATTACAGGTATGGATTTAATGAATTTAAATCTGTGTATCGTTTAAATTAAAAAAAATTTCGTTCAAATATGACATTTATTCGCTATTTTACTTTTGATTTATTTATTTATCTATGATTGTATCTAAACAGGAATTAAAATATTAATGGTATTATTATCACTGATAATTTTAAGGGTGTTGTAGTAACAGGATCAGTTTTAAAATTATTTTGTTTCAAATATCAGAAAACATTGGAAAAATTATGTTTATTAGGTGCACTTATACCATCTGAAGATGCGCCTATTTGTTTTCAAGCTATAAGTAAATTTTTGATCATTATTATTACAAATATATTTAATGTTAATTTTTTTTTTTTTAATATTCTAACATTTAGTATAATTTGATATTTCAGTATTTAATTAATTTATTCAATAATATTCTCTGTTTTCTTTTTTTTTTTTTTTTTTTTTTTACAGATAACTTGGATCATTTAACTTGTCTAACATTGGCACCATCGTTATATTCAATTAGTACTACCAATAAAGCATTCTTTAAAAATTATCCATCATTAAAGAATTCAAAAATGTTAAAATTAGTAGCAGTATATGTGTCAAAGCCAGATATATCACAGCTAAAGTTATTCCTTCAACAAATACTTCCATCTAATATTGAACAATTAATACTTTATGATGAAAGCTATCGCATAGCTTATCAAATTGAGCAAGAATTAAATGAATTCAAATGCAAGGTTCTAATATTCAAATAAAACTGTTTTAAAAAATAAATAAATAAGTAATAAAAGATGAAAGATCAGACAAGGAATAAATTTCTAACTTATATCCAAGCAGGACGATTATTTTCCTAAATCATAACAATAAACTAAACAGTTCATCACACTATGCTCGTTAATTAAAACTGTTGAAATGAAAAAAAAATGTGAACTAATTTTTGACTTAATTCTAAAATAGTTCTACACTATATCTGATTTAAACTTTGTTTTTCTATTTTCTTTTTTTATCTGTAAAAAGTACAACTTATCAAATGTTTGTTTAGATTCATTTTTGCCGTGCTGATGATATAATCATTGATAGCTACTGGATGAATGGTAAAAGTGAACTGATAACACACACAGTGTGGAAACCACCATATAAAATTAATACTTACTTACCAGCAATGGTTTCTTTTTTTTTTTTCACATAATAAAATCTGAAAAAAAAAAAAAAAAAAATCTCAAATGTTAGTTTTTTAATTATATATTATATTATAGATTATTCTCTTAATTATTTTAATCTTTTGTTAAATCTGTTTTAATTTATATGCGCTTA